TATTTATTTGTTTGTTTATAAAATTTATAGGCCACCCCTCTTACCTAAAAGATAACTTATTATTGCTAAGGCTCTACATCTTATTTGTTTAGGGCTACAATAGTGGTCACGTTACCCAAATATATTGAGATAACAGTTTCCCTCACACTTACACAGACATATGCAATTACTGAAAACTGGCTCTAAGCTCAATTAGTTGCTGACTTCATATTAAAATCCAGTTTGGGTCATCTTATTTTGTCCTCAAATGCCTCTTCTTATCAGACCAGACTTCATGATCTAAGAAAGATATACTTTCCATTCTGCATTATCTATTATGTTCTGACAGTGAGGAATCGAAAGCGAGATTTGAGGGAAACACAAGCTCCCACGGGATGACTTAACGCATTAATCTACTGCATTCTAGAAGTTGTGCAGACTGTCTGCCCTGACTTTATCTGTGGGAGTTATTTTTTCTACTTCTGCATCAGAAATTGTGTTCCACACTACAAAATCATCCACAGAAGTTGTAGACTATATTTCAATTCAATTATTATTTTTCTCCAATTGAAGAGGAAATTATGTGTTGGAACAATCCCATCATTTTTATAACTGCCACATGTACTTTCCTTAGGGACACAGCTCTGATAAGATCTCTAAACACTAGTAGATATAAATGCAGTTTTCTCAGTCAAGAAATCTTAACAGCTAATGCCTTGGCAGACATCCTGACAGAAATGGAAAGTCCAAATATAAAGACATAATATTGATAATGTTCTCCAGGATTCAATCTATTTCCTGCAGTTGATTGTTTTACATCAAACAGGCAAACTTTGAACCATTGATTTCATGCAGTTGTTTAAGCTTAACTATATAAACCTTGCTTGCCTTTGTTTGAAATTCTATAATGGAAAAACTGAAATCCACTATATCTGAAAATTGTCAAGGTGTGTGAAACTGATTCAAGTCAATGTGTTATGACTTATGCGATGAAGCAACATACACTTTAAATCTAAAAGCTTGTTTAAAAATTAGAAATATTGTTCTTTGGGGGGGGGCAAATCCACTTGGAAATAAAAAATACAGGTAGTCCTCAACTTACGATGAGCCCAAATTTTATGTTATTAAGTGAGAAAATTATTAAGTGAGTTTTACTCCATTTTACAACTTTTCTTGCCACATTTATTAAGCAAATTACACATATTAACTAAATTAATGCCTGTTCAAATTGTCTATAAATAAGGAAACAACTTTATGAAAGTCAAGGTTACATATATTAGTCATCTTCACATATACAC